TCCTTCCTCTCCTCCCCGCCGTCCTCCCTTCCTATCTCCTCCTCCCCCACTGCCGTCCTCCCTTCCTCCCTCCCTCCCCCACTGCCGTCCTCCCTTCCCATCTCCCTCCCCACGTCCTCCCTTCCTACCCTCCTCCTTCCTTTATTGCATAGTCTTTATGGCTCTTCGATATTTATGTGTAGTGCAATATATGTGTGCAGTGTGTGTGTGTGTGCAGTGTGTGTGTGTGTGTGTGTGTGTGATTCCATAAGACGACATGTTGGAGACTTATACAGCACATTAAGCCCAGCTGGCTGCACTTGACCGCTCGCTTAAACTGTTAAAATTCTGTACTCATTTAAAGCTGGATGGACTCTAGATACTCAATATTCAAACCGACTCTAGGCAGGGTCGTGCACTGTATCCACCAGCCGGTCCATTCAAAAGGCATCGTTAGCCACGGGGTTAATATGAGTCGAGGCTTTTCAGAGCAACGATTACTCGACTTGTTTCTGTAATGACGACTTTGAGCATGAATGAGTGTATACGATTTAGAACGACACCACATCAATATTGCTTAGTGAATTTCTTATTATAGTGAAGTATCTCGTATTCCACACAAGACGACCCTCCCTAACCCTACCCCCATCTCGTATGCCACACAAGGACGACCCCTCCGCTAACCCCTACCCCATCTAGTATGCCACACAAGGACGACTTCACAACCTTACCCCATCTAGTATGCCAAGAATCTCTGCTAACCCTACCCCCATCTAGTATGCCCAACAAGGACGACCCCCAACCCTACCCCATCTAGTATGCCACACAAGGACGACCTCATCCCTTTCATCTAGTATGCCACACAAGACGACCCTCAACCCTACCCCATCTAGTATGCCACACAAGGACGACCCTCCCCTAACCCTACCCATCTAGTATACACAAGGACGACCCCTCCGCTAACCCCACCCCATCTCGTATTCCACACAAGACGACCCTCCCGCTAACCCTACCCCCATCTAGTATGCCACACAAGGACGACCCCTTCCCAACCCTACCCCCATCTCTTGCTGTTGTATGGTTAGCAGGAGTACCAGCTAATGACGACACACTGGGGATAAAATAAAAGCATTTCATCTCGCCTTTCAAATTGGAGCGACGGAAAATCTAACAATAGTTTTTAGAACGACTGTACATGTAGTTTGTTTTTCCCTTGCTCCTCGTCATCCTCCCCTTACGACCATCCTCCCTCTCCACCTTTATCTCTCCACCTCTCCCTCCCACTCATCCCCCCACTCATCCCCCCCACATCTTCCTGAAACTTAAAAAATTAAAAATAAAAAATCCTGGGAAAAAAATCACTACCATAAAAAACGTAAAGATTTAAATAAAAGAGAAAAAATATATATAAAAAAATAAAATATTAAAAAAAAAATTGAATGAAAGGAATGAACGACGACTAAAAATAATTATAACTACAAATCAACTGAAATGAATAACACGATAATGAAATGTAAGAAAATAAAGAAATAATTTATTAAAGTAAGACGGAATTTAGGAAAAGGAATATTTAAAAGTAAACAATATGAAACAAAAAATATAAATGAAAGTAAAATAAAGAAAAATAAATAAAAGTAAACAAAATGTAAGTAAAAAAATGTAAAGTAAATAGTAAACAACGTGTAAAAAACTGATTGGTAAAAAAAATAAAAAATAGTAAAATTAACACCTAAAAATACAAAGAACACGAAATGGGGGAAAGTAATAAAATAAATAAATAAATAAATAAATAAATAAATAAAGGAAACAGGCAATTAAGTTACAACAAACCACAAACAATCAGACAACCAGAACAACGACTAACCAACAAAATGGTCTGGGGATAAAGATTGTAAATAACAGCCAATCAGAAGCAAGTTAGAGAGAAAGATTAAATAAATAAGCCAATCAGAAGCAAGTTAGAGAGAAAGATTGTAAATAACAGCCAATCAGAAGCAAGTGAGAGAGAAAGATTATTACTAACAGCCAATCAGAGACAACTTGGAGAAAGAGATTGTAATTTCTGACATTTTTAAACCAATCTAGATTACAAGGAGTGGAACTAACTGTCAATTAGAGGCTACACGGTAGTTAAGGGTGATAGAAACCATTCTCCACAACACGAAATAAATGGGTGTACTCTCTCATACTCCTCTACCTTTTATCCTCCTCCCTCCCTTCTTCTCTCCCTGTCCCTCCTTCTCTCTCCTCCTTCCTATCCTTCCTCTCTTCACCTCTCAGTCCCCACCTCCCTCCCCCCACTTCTTTTTTCCTTCTCCCATCTCTCTTTCCTCGCCTCTTTCTCCCTACTGCTTCTATTCTTCCTCCATTTCTTCCTTTTTAGGTTTATCCATCTCCCGTTTCCTTTTCCAGTCTCCCCATTTTCTCATCCTTCCCGATTCCTCTTCCCTCCTCCTCCCGTCCACTTTCTATTCACTCTCTCTCTCTCTCTCCCCTTCCCCTCACCACATGAAAGGATAGTTGTCAGGACACATGGATGGAACAGTTCTCCCCCTCCCCCCACCCAACAGAAAATGTCAAACAAGTTAATTCTATCATCAATCAAAGGCCACCCCCTCCTCCTCCACTGTGACCTTAGTGAAGCTTTGACCTCTCGCTGTGACCTGATACTGTAATCAAGACCAGATACAGACCACCTTGACCTGAGTTATTATTTCATACGTGTTTGTTTCAATTCAGACAAGTTGATTGTTTTTCAATACGTTGAGTAAATATCACTAATACCAACTTATCAATTTATAAGTCCTGATGAAAATATTGACAAAAATTTCCTTTATTTCCAGGTTGTGTGTCCGTCTGCTGTCTCTCGTCTGTCTGTCTGTCTGTCTGTCTGCTGCTCTGTCTGTCTGTCGTCTCTGTCCGTCTCCAGTATGTTTCGTATATTAAACAAAACAACAATAAATTATGAGGACAAAAAAAACCCAACAATGTTACGATTAACAATGCACGAGTATAAAATAAAATAATTGTTTGAAAATATCAATCAAAATCTCAAAATAGGAAAAACTACCAAGAAACAACTTTTAAAAAAATCAAGAATAAAAAAGAAGGAAACCAGAAAATAAATTCGAATAAAAACAGGATAAAAAATTTCTTAAACAAGCAGATTGACCCTCAGCCGAGATGGTCATTGATTTCTTCGGGTTATGTCATTCTTTTTCTTATTTATCTTCTTTCTGACGCCCGTAGTGATGTAAACGTGTCAGTTCAGTTTAAACACAGGCGATGGAAGCTCAATGTTATTACCCCCCCTCTCTCTCTCTCTCTCTCTCTCTGTCTTTATGTCCATTTAAAACCTTTCATTTTTCCATTTTTCATTGTAAATACAATTTTTATCCACCTGGTACACGTTTTCTATGATATCCTTTATCCGTTTTCTATGAAGTCTTTGATCCGTTTTTTATGAGGCCATGAAAACGTTATCACGGACATCATTTCTTATTTTACCATTTTCTTGTCGAATTTCTGGAGCGTATTTTCTTTGTGACCCTGAAAACATTTTCTTTGACTCACGAGACCGGAAAACGTTTTTGTTGCCAGAGACCAAACATTTTCTTTGACCTCTGAAGACCAGGCTGTTTTCTTTGCCCACAAACAAAACATTTTCTTTGACACCAAACAAGCTTATTTTCTTTATTTAACCAAGCATTTTCTTTCCACAAAACAAAACATTTTCTTTGATACAAGCTTATTTTTCTTGTCTACAAAACCAGGCTTATTTTCTTTGTCACATTTTCTTTGGCTCTAGATCAGTAAACATTTTCTTTGTACCCACCAGAAAACATTTTCTTTGTGCCTACAACCAGTAAAACGTTTTCTTTGATTCCACAGGCTTGTTTTGTTTGTCCACGAACCAGGCTTGTTTTCTTTGACACCCACAGACCAGTAAAACATTTTTGACCTTCCAGAAAGCATTTTCTTTAACACCCACGAGACAAGAAAACATTTTCTTCAGCCTAAGACCAAGCATTTTCTTCGACATCCCACAGGAAAGCTTTTTTTAACATCCAAACAATAAAACATTTCTTTGACACCCACAACCAACATTTTCTTGTTTACCCAACCAGTAAAACATTTTCTTTACCCACGAAACCAGCTTATTTTCTTTATTTCTAGTAGTAAACATTTTCTTTGTGGCTTCCCAGAACATTTTCTTTATTACAAACCAGTAAAACATTTTCTTTACCCACAGAAAACGTTTTCTTTGTTTACTCTGAAACCAGAAACATTTTCTTTGACACCCACAGAGGCCAGTAAAACATTTTCTTTGACTCCACAGAGACCAGAAGCTTGTTTTCTTTGACATCTATTGAAACAAAAAAAATGTTTCAATCAAAAACCATAGTCGCCTGTATTTCTTGACCTAACCATTCTTGGTAGTGTGGCAGGTTCTGTCTCTCTCTCTCTCTCTCTCTCTCTCTCTCTCTCTCTCTCTCTCTCTCTCACTGTCACCTCTTCTCCCCTCTCACCATTGCTCTCTCCCTTTTAACCACCTTGAGCTTTCACTCTCACAGTATTATTAAGTTTCCTCCTCTCACTTTTCTCTCCCTTCCCTCTCTCTCCCCTCTCCCAGTACTCTCCACCTACCACTAAGTAGGTTTTACACTCTCAGTGCTTTAATTTGGTTTAATCACTCTCCCTCGCTCTTCCTTTCTTCTCTCCATCTCTCCCCATCGGCAGTAGTGTATTTGTTAATATATTTATTTATATATATATATATATATATATATATGCGTCCCAGGACACTACTAATTTGCCCTCTCTCACTCTCCCTTTCACTCCACTCTCACCATGTTGTTTCACTATGTCTCGTGGGAGGTAATACTGCTGGATTTCTCACCCTCTCTCCCCTCCTTCCTTTCCTTCTCCTCTCACTCTGTATGCCTGTTCTCTCTCTCTCTCTCTCTCTCTCTGTCCCCCCATCCCTACCCACCCCTTGACCACATTTTGGACATCACCACATGTTGTGTTCTTTGAATACTGACCGCGCCGCCCTGCCGCCACGCGCCCCTCGCCGCCACGCATCTCTTGTCACGCCCCGTACGCCACGCGCATCCTGCCACTGCGCCCCTGCCACGCGCCCCCTCTTGTCACCGCCCCCTGCCCGCCGCCTGCCCACTCTTGCCCTGCCCACCACCGCCCCCTCGCCCACTGCACCGCCCCCTGCCCACCACGCCACCCCCTGCCAATGCACGCCCCCTGCCCGCCGCCCTGCCACTCACGCCCCCTGCCGCCACACGCCCCCTGCCGCCACGCGCCCCCCCTGCCTGCGCCGCCGCCCTGCCCGCCACGCCCCCACCTGCCAATGCCGCCCCTGCCGCCCGCCCTGCCCACCACGCCCCCTGCCCACCACACGCCCCCCTGCCCTGCGCGGATCACCGCGCATCCTCTTTGCCGCCGCCGTCATCTCTTTACTCTTCACCCGCCCCATATTTTATAATGCCCCCTCTCTGAGCGCGCCCCTGCCCATCACGCCCCCCCCTCGCCACCACCGCGCCGCCTGCCCGCCACGCACGCCCACCAACCACACTCACGCCCTCTTGGTCGCCCGCCCGCCGCCCCCTGCCGCCGCGCGCATCCTCTTCCTCTTCGTCGCCATCTTTCTTGCGCCCCTGTGCCCCCTCTTCGCCGCGCGCCCCCTCTTGACCGCCTTCCTGCCGCCGCGCCCCTGTGACCACTTGCGCCCCTCTTAATACGCCCCTCTTGATACGCGCCCCCTGCTGCGATAACCCTCTTCGCCCTGCCACTTTCACGCCCTGCCCGCCACCGCCCCTTCCCCTGTGCCCCTATCTTGACCGCCCCGTTCCCCCTCTTCCCCTCTTCCCCTCTTGATCTTGCGCCCCCTCTTACCCTGCCCCGTCTCCTCTTCCCCTGCCTGCCTGACCCCCCTCTTCCGCCACTTGCGCCCCCCTGCCCGCCTTGCTTCCCTCTTACTTGCGCCCCATTCTGCCCGCCTTGCGCCCCTCTTGATACATTCGACCCTGCACCTGCCCACCGCACGCCCCCTGCGCATCTGCCCCTCTTCACCGCCTCTGCCACGCCCCACGCCCCCTCTGCCCCTGCTTTCCCACCACACGCCTGCCCGCCACCCTACTGCCACCGCGCCCTGCCACGCCCCCTACCCACCACGTCCTCACACATTCTCTTCCCCTGCCACCACACGCACCCCTGCCTGCACTGCCGCCACGCACCCCTCTTACCCCCTGCCCTGCGCCCCCTGCCCGCCACTTCTTGACCACGCAATCCCTGCCCTAGACCGCCACCCACCACACGCCCTGCCACCACACCCCCCCTCTTCCCCCTGCCACTCACGCCTTTACGTCCCCTGCCACCACACTTTATACCGCCCCCTCTTCGCATCCTCTTCCTTCGATACGCCCTGCCGCCGCATCTCTTTGCCCTATTCCTTCCCCTGTCGATATGTAATACGCCCCTCTTGATAGCACAGATACCTCTTTCTTTGCCCTGCCCGCCGCCCTGTCGCCGCGCATCATTCCCCTCTTTTGCGCCCTGCTGCCATCGCATTCACCCACGCACCGCCCCCTGCCGCCGCCGCCCCGCCGCCGCGCCCTGCCGCCACCGCACGCACCTGCGCCCCTGCCGCCGCACGCGCCCCTCTTCCTGCACGCCTCGCGCGCTTCTCTTCAATGCCTGATCCCTCTTCCTCACTGCCGCCCCCTCTTCCACCATCTTCCTTCTTCCGCCCCCCTGCTTCGTCTGCTTCCCCATCGACCACGACTTCTTCTGCCCTTTCTTATCGCCCGCCGCGCATCGCCCGCCGCGCCCGCCTGCCCACCGCGCCCTCTTCGATACTTCCCCATCGATGCGCCCCCTCTTGCCTGCGCGCCCCCCTGCCCCTGCCCTGCACTTCCTCTTCCGCCGCCCCATCGTTGCGCCCCTCTTTGCCGCCCCTAACCGCCACGCCCCTGCCACCACGCACCCCCATTATCCGCCACACGCCGCCGCTTATCCTTCGCCGCGCCCTCTTGCGCGCCCTCTTCACTCGCACTTCCTGTAGCTTTCACCTTCCTGCCATCCCCTGTCCCGCCACGCCCCTGCCCGCCGCGCCCCCTCTTGCCGCGCCCTCGCCCTTGCGCCCCCCCTGCCGCCACCGCCCCCTCTTCCGACCGCCTGATCCCCTCTTTACTGGATAACCTCGCCCTGCACGCCCGCCCTCTTGCCACCCGCCCCCTCACTTCCCGCGCCCCCTCGCCGCCTCTTTTCCGCACCGTTACCTGCCCACTTACTTGCGCCCTATCGATATAGATGCCCCCTCTTGATACGCGCATCACCGCCGCGCCCCTCTTGATACGCCCCCTAACCACCGCACTTATCCTCTTCCCCCCACGCGCCCCCCTCTTACCTTTATAATATATGTACTTCTCTTGATGCCTGATACCCCTGTTTACTCTTGCGCCCCCTCTCCCGCCGCCCCCTCGCCGCCCTTGCGCTTTATTTTCTTCACCTTCCTATGCCATCATTCCTTCGCCCCCTCTTCACGCCCCTGCCCTGCGCCCCCCTCTTCCGCCAC